AGCGCTGGAGTTGAGGCGCGGCCGCGGAGAGCCTGGGCGGGGTGGCGAAGGCTCCGGGGGCACTTTAGGGGCCGGCAGAGGTGAGGGGTAAGCGCCGCCTAGGGGGCTGGTCCGACCCTCGCCGTCTGGGATGAGGCGCCAAGCCTCCGCATCCGGGTTCTCTCGGCCGGTACCGCGCGCTTGGGTTCCCGGGGTTCTCTCCGGCAGGCGGCCCAAGGCCAGGACGCCCGGCAAGCGGATCTCAGTGCGAGCAAAGGGTTTTGCCGTGCTGTTTTCTGCCCTCCGCCTCAAGACTCCGTTGGGCTGCGAGGCGTCCCGGGGAACTGTGTCGAGGGGCGGCTCCGGGGGCTCATAGGGGTGCGGCACGACTGGCAAAAAGTCTTTGAGAAAAACGGAGGTGTAGTGAGCCGGAGCGGAGGACCCCGGCGCCTGGAGCTCTCGTGTCTGGGATAGGCCGCCCTCCTCCCCGAAGGTATCTTTAGGAGGCGCAGGCTTCCCTGACCCTGGGCTTCCCGCGGGGAAGCTGGGTGCATAGGTGGTCTTCACCATCTTGCGCACATCTCGCGGCCGCGGAATGGCCACGCGCGGGCGTTCAGAGGCCGCTTCTCCAGAGCCCCAGACTCCTGGGCGCGTGTCAGAGCTCAGCGTGCCCACGAGGTGACTGCGGGGCTGCTCGGGGGCATCTACCTCTGGTGAAGGCTGATTGCTGCGCAAGGCAAGCTCTGGAATTTCCCGCATGGGCGGGCTCTGTACCTCTGCTAGTTCTGGGGTCCCAGGTGTAGGCGATGCCAACTCCTGAGCTACGCCATTCACAACTTCCCGCCTAAATGCTGTGGATGAGCCCTGCAGACTGAGTCCCCAGGTCTCCTGGGGCGATGGGCTCCGCGTCCCAATAGGACTATCTGGCGTGCCCCACGGACACAAGGCTGGTGGGGACGGGCGCTTACCCTGCCCTGTGGCATCCCGGACTGCCGGAGGCGGAACTTCCCACTGGGAAGGAACTTCGGGGGATGGACTCCTTCTAGCCCTCACACCACCCTGCCTCCACTGGGAGAGGGTTGGTGGGGAAGGGCTCCTCCTGCTGACAGGTTCCTCGACGGCGGGATTCCGATTTTCCCACGCGGAAGATGCTTCACGGAACGGAGGGCTACTCACCCTCAAGACAGTCCGATCCCACGGGGACAGGTTCTGAGGGGACGGGCAGCGAGAATCCCGCACGGCCCCATTTGGAGCCTGGCCCAACCGAGAGGGGCTCTTAGGCTTCTCCGCCCTCCTCGGAGCCTCCCAGGGGACGCTGGACTCCAAAGACGGATTCCGTTCTCTTGGGGTGATTCGACCCGGAGTCTCTTTCGGAAATCGAGTCTTGGGTCTCTGGTTGCGTGCCTCCTGGGTCTTTTCCTCTGACTGCAAAAAGATGCTAGAACTAACAGGACCCAGTGGCTCTGTCCCAGGAGCTGGCTTGTCGCGCCGGATAGCGCGCTCACGGAGGCTGGGCCAAGGCCGTGGGGCTCTGGCGGGGCTTGAACTCTCTTGTGAGCGGGGTGGCCAAGACCGAGCCTCTTCCAGGACCACGCGGGCGCTGTGCGCTGTTTCTCCAGTCTTAGGCTCTGGCCGCTCCGTTGGTCTAACGGTGGCACTACTCGGGGCTGGGGTCGCAGGACTCAGTTTTCTGGCTAGCGCCGTCTGCACGAGGCCCGCTGCGACCTGCAGGCGGCTCAGCGATTCGTCCAGGGAGCCGGTGCTGCCTTTTATTGAAGGAACCCATGAGAAGCCTGTAGTCCTGGCAGGTTTAGTGGGGAGGCTGAATCCCTGGGGCAGCCTGTGAACCTGCAGGAACAAGCCCATGGGCCGGGTTGGATTTGGATTGCATCTCATTTGAGAATCAGTAAGCAGATTTTGGCCTTATGTATGGGAAACCAT